AAGATCGAGACACAAGAGCCAAACCACCCGACACCATTCACAGAATCACAGAATGAAAGGGGTTGAAAGGGACCTCTGGAGATCATCTAGTCCAAGCCTCCTGACAAAGCAGGGTCACCTAGAGCAGGCTGCACAGGAACGTGTCCAGGCAGGTTTTGAACGTCTCCAGAGAAGGAGACTCCACCACCTCTCTGGGCAGCCTCTGCCAGGGCTCTGCCACCCTCACAAGAAAGAAGTTCCTCCTCATGTTTAGATGGAACTTTCTACATTCAAGTTTGTGCCCGTTCCCTCTTGTCCTGTCCCTGGGCACCACTGAAAAAAGCCTGGCCCCATCCTCCTGACACCCACCCTTCAAGTCTTTATAGGCCTTGATCAGATCCCCCCTCAGTCTTCTCTTCTCCAGACTCAAAAGCCCCAAGTCCCTCAGCCTTTCCTCAGCAGAGAGATGCTCCAGATGCCTCATCATCTTTGTGGCCCTCTGCTGTTCCCTCTCCAGCAGTTCCCTGTCCTTCTGGAACTGGGGAGCCCAGAACTGGTCCCAGTGCTTCAGATGGGTCCTCCCCAGGGCAGAGCAGAGGGGGACAATGATCTCCCTTGACCTGCCGGTCACACTCTTTCCTGATGCCCCCCAGGATGTCATTGGCTTTCTTGGCCACGAGGGCACATTGCTAACTCATCTGTCCCTGCTTTTGCAGAGCACGACCGTGGCTCCAAGCTGGCTACAATCCTTCCTTCCCTGCAGACCTCAGCCACCACCAAAAGCTGCGCCAGGTCCCTCAGGACCCAGTCCTAATGCATCTCCTCCCCAGCAGCACCAGGGGATGAAGCAGGGAGGGCAGTGAGCTGGACTGGCCCATGCCAACCCTGTTGACACACACGTAGCCGTGGGCAGCACGGAGCTGGACGAAGACCAGCCAGCTCCAACCACGCTTAGGAAAGAGCTAGGAAAGGCCAAAGTGGTGATAATCAGTGAACAATAGATGGCAAATAATATTATTTATTATCTCCATGTCTTCAGTAGCCACGGGGCACTTGTTGCACCAAGCACAGAGCTCTGGAGTGCTCCTGTCCCACTGATGGCTCAACTGACATCTGCTGGTCCCGAGCCATTTTCTACATTTTGCTGATTCTGCTGAAGGCCACAGAAAAGAAGAAAGATGGCCAGGCTGCAGGAACTAAAGTCCCTTGGTTGTCCTCCTGCTTTTAGTTGGTTTTGGGGGACATGCAACATGAAGTAATGTTGGAGCAGGGCTGAACGTGGTCCTTGGTATTTCGGCATGAGGCAGAGGCTTTGGGGCAGCAGGGACAGAATCATAGAATGGTTTGGGTTGGAAGGGACCTTAATGATCACAGAGTTCCAAACCCCTGCCATGGGCAGGGACATCTCCCACCAGACCAGGTTGCTCCCACCTGACCAGGACGTCAGCATGTTCCCTCCCCACCATACTGGAAGGACAGAAGATATACAGGGACAAATTTGCTGTGGTTTTGTGAAATAAAGTGAGACCTGAGTTGAGAGCACATGGGCTGTAGGGCTGGGAGAAGTTAGTGGGAAATCCCTCTTGCTTAGACCATCAAGAGCCAGGACAACTTCTTAAAATTGCTAAAAGCATTAAAGTCATTGAAGACTCACGGAGGAACGCGGTCCTGGAAGATGCCACCACTGGTCCTATGTGAGGACAGCCAGGGCTGGAAGCAGGCAAGGGCTAAGCCCGCGGTGCTCTGTCTCCAGCACAACCATCCCCAGGGAAAGCTTTTCCCCAGGAACAATGCCCTCTTCCAGCTCGCCCTCAATTCCCCGAAGCTCCAAGGGAAGAATAGGAGGAAAGCTCTTTCTTTTGTTTCTATTTAACTTCTCTCCTTTGTTATTCTTTTCCCAGGCTCCCCAGATTTGACGGCTGCTGCAATAGTGCCCTGCTTTTCATTTGCAACAAAAATCTCTCCTTAGCCCCCAGAATCTTCAACGACGTTCTTTGGGCTGGGCTTGGACATCCCATTTCCTTTCTCTACCTTAAACTACGCAATATTCCGAGCAGAAAAACATGTTTCGATCTAAAGCACCACCCAAACTCACCGTGTTCCATCAAAACACTTTAAGGAGAGCAGGACCCACCTTTAACTTCTCTTGGCAAACCACCTCTTTGCCTAAAATCCCAATGATGACCCTACCAGACCTTGTTGAGAAGACACTCTCCGCCTGCACAAATCTCACCCCCAACCCTCAGAATGCTTCTAGAATTTAAACTTTTTGATTCTTTGGGGATCCAGCTCCTGGGACAGGCAGTCACGGTGTCAGACATGGTGGTAGACCCTTCCTTCTCCCCCCACACTGGTTTCCAGCAGGCAGCTCAAGCAATGGGCGCAGAGGAGGATCATAGAATCACAGAATGGTTTGGGGTAGAAGGGACCTTAAAGATCATCCAGTTCCAACCCCCTGCCCTGGGCAGGGACACCTCCCACCAGACCAGGTTGCTCCAAGCCTTGTCCAACCTGTCCTTGAACCCCTCCAGGGATTGTCACTGCTCAATAAATAACACCGACGTTGCCACCCTGATGCCCCAGCCACGTCCCCAGCTCCTCCTCATCCAGCCACCCATTTCTGGTGTCCTCGCTGCCGTCCTCACTTCCTCCCAATTAATGACGGTGCTAATAAGTTTTTACTAGGAGTGACTGATGGGGTGGGAGGAAGAAAAGGAGCTGGAGAGAGGAAGCTTTGCAGGGGGAAGGGAAGAGATGCCTCAGTCCTCAGGCAACTTTCCCCTTCCTCCTGCTCGCTCCCTCGCTGACCTTAAGCTGAGTTTAGCAAGACTATAAAGAAAAAGGGAAAAAGAAGAAAAAAAATAAGAGCGAGAAACTAAAAGGCAAGAGGAGCTGGAAGGACAGACACCTTGTGAACCTGTCCTGAGGCACGTGGAGCTCTCAAACCTTACAGGCCATAGTGACACCTCCTCCTGCCCTGGGACACCAGCCCACGTGCGTTATGGAGCTCACCAAGGGATGAGCACTCTGCAGGATTAGGGAGTTTCCACCATCTCAGGAGCACCCAGCAGGGCCAGCCTGTGCCAATGTCCCTGTCCTCCCCTGGGGCAGCTGGAAGAGCTCACCACCACCACCTCGGCTGTGTCTATGGCCCTACTTTGGCTCTGGCAACCATCTCAGTGCCTGGCACCTCTCACTGCTGCTAAATAGATGTTCCTGGTCTCCTGGGTTGGGTCTGTGCATCAGGATTAGCCAATGGTGGCAAAAAACGGTGGCAAGATGAAAGCCCATCCCAGACCTGCAAGTCACAACCCCGCAGAGATCAACCATTTTGGGGCAGGGGATCTGGAAGACTCAGGCTCACCCATGCCAGCTAAGCTAAGAGTCTTCTTCTCTGACAAAGGACACCATGAGGACAGAGCTGTCCTGCTAAGGAACAGAGAGATGTATTTTTAAGAAACTAATTGATGCGTGACGTCTCGATATAATTAGTAAAGGCTTTTTATGGAGCTGCCCTGCAGCAAGAAAATATCCCCGATACACGAAATTCATGTCCTTCTGCACACCACCGTGTCCCCACATACCGGCGAGGTGACAAGAGGGACCGTGACGGCACGGAGAGGGCAGACAGGAGTGGGCAGGGAAAAATCCTGGCAGAATTGGGGCTGGGATGTGTCACGACTGTGAAGGGAAGCAGAGGGGAACGGGGACTTCGCCAGACGGCGAGATCTTCCCCGTGAGGTGACACATAGCGCCGTGGGCAGGGATTTTGGGGAAGTTAGGCTATTCTTAGCGTCCTTCTCCCACCTCCTCCTCTGGATACGTGTTCCTCATCATGATGCCTGGATTCTTTCTCACTGCTACAGTCACCGTCTGTGAACCCTACCCACCATCTAACGGTGAAGAGAAAATGTTTATGATGTGTTTGCATCCAGAGGAAACTTCCTATGGGCGTAAAAAAAAGTCATCGCCGGCACTTTATTTATCCTTCCCTTGCCCGAGGTCTAGGGGAGAACTTCTTTCACAGCGAGTTATTTATGGCCCGACAGAAGCACTAGTGACAATTTGAGATTCACAGCTCCAACCCTGGGCAAGGAAGCTGAATTCTTCTGAGGAAGTCTTCTCCAGACAGCAGCAGGAGGCAAAACCGTCTTTAGAACAGGATGGGGGAAAGCCCTCTCCTGCTCTGTCGGACATTAACACTTGAGTTGCCTTTTTCTGATGGTCCTCACTGAGGTTTCTACCACCACTTTGAACCGTGGAGAGCTCAGGCTCTGAAATGAGCTCATCATAGAATCGTCCAGGTTGGAAGGGACCTTTAAGATCATCTGGTCCAACCATCAACCTAAGTCTGATGAAAACCACCACTAAAGAGTGTCTCAAAGCACCACATCTGCCCAGCTTTTAAGTACTTCCAGAGATGGTGACTCCACCACTGCCCTGGGCAGCCTGTTCCACCACTTGATAACCCTCTCAGTGAAGAAATTTTTCCTAATATCTAATCTGAACTTTCCCAATATACCCATTTTTTCCTAATATCCAATCTGAACATCCATCAGGAGGTCAGGTTCTGCAATGTCCCCAGCCCTGCTGGCAGGGCTGGGTTTCTGCTGCACCAGGTGGGGAGTAAAGGGCATATGGGACCTCACTGCTCTCCCCCTTTTGTCCCCTCAGTCTATTCAGGTGGCTTCACCTGGTTTTTAGAAGCTTTTTTAGCTTTTTAGTGGGGTTTTTTGCAAAGTTGGGATTTGCAAACTCAAAGGTTGGGTTTGCAATTCCAACTGTTGGGCTCTACAAACCCTTGGAGAAAGGGGTCTTGCTTGGAGCACATGCTTTAAGTAGCAGAAACACAATATGCAGGAAAAGCCCAAAAGATGCAGGTCCTTTTGGGGTGGGAAGTGTTGATGGTGGCAAAGCAAACCTCTAGGAATCCTAAAGCAAACACCTGCGGATCACGGGCACCTCAGCAACGCCTTGGAGAAGGAGAAAGGTGGAGGAGGAGAAACTCCGAAGGCATTTACCTCCCTGAGGCAGGTATAAATGGGGCAGACGAGGACTCGAAAGGGTTCTCCGGTGCTGCTCCTCATGGTGCCGAAGACCTCGCAGAGAAAGGTGATGAACCCCAGCCAGCGCTCCACGTCCCGCTGCTGCAACTCCTCCCGCATGGTGAAATCCTTCTGCAAGAGGGACAGAGACAACGGGCTGCATCAGCAAAACCGCATCGAGAGGCGAGAGAGAGAAAGAATGAAGAGGAAATTGAAACTCAGGGTTGGGGGGGGTGGTGGTGTGGTGGGAAGGAAGACAGACAGACAGACAGACTGACTCTTTAGTAACAGCCTGGAGATTACTCAACGCGCCCGGAGTGGCTGGAATTTCAACAGAGCAAAGCCACCAGAAAGCAGGTATTGTAGAAATATCACCAACCCCTGCAATAACTGCCACGGCTTGCGCTAGAGACGGCGTCCCCCGTGCCCTGCCCCCTCCCTCGGACAGACACGGGGGACTCTTTTTCCATACACACAGCCAAGATCATATAAAAGCAGCAAAAAGAGGTTGTGATCACAGAATGATAGAAATGTCCAGGTTGGAAGGGACATTTCAGATCATCGAGTCCAACCATCAACCCAACACTGATAAAAACCACCACTAATCCATGTCCCTCAGCACCACGTCTGCCCAGCTTTTAAATACCTCCAGGGATGGTGACTCCACCACTGCCCTGGGCAGACTCTTCCAAGGCTTGACAACCCTCTCACTGAAGACATTTTTCCTAATATCCATCCTGAACCTCCCCTGGTGCAACTTGAGGCCATTTCCTCTTGTCCTGTTCCTTGGGAGAAGAGACCGACCCCCCCTGGCTACACCCTCCTTTCAGGGAGTTGGAGAGAGCGAGAAGGTCTCCCCTCAGCCTCCTTTTCTCCAGGCCGAACATCCCCAGCTCCCTCAGCCGCTCCTCACAAGACTTGTGCTCCAGACCCCTCACCAGCTCCGTTGCCCTTCTCTGGACAAGCTCCAGCCCCTCAATGTCTTTCTTGTAGTGAGGGACCCAAAATGAAAGGCAAAAGAAATGCAATGAAATTTGGTGGCCTTGCTGGACTTGGTGCTCCAGATGGACCTGCCCAGCCTGCTCATTCCCGTATCTTCAAGCAGACCCACCTGGGGACAATCCTAATGGCCTGACTGCTCCCTGGGGTTTCACCAAATTATGGCAGAGACTGGCTCCCTGCCCGACCAGAAGAAGATCAGGGCAGCCCGAGCTTGGCATTAAAAGGTCACCCTGCTCCCGAGCTGACGGTTGCCATGACCAAGGATTATGCGAGTGACGTGATTTATGGAGCAACATCAAGAAGAAGCACACAGGGAGGAAAAAAAAAAAAGGGGTTTGCCCGAAGGCAGGACTTGATCTTTTATCTTTGTCATCTGGGTTTCTTCCTACTGCTCGAGAAGAAGGGTTTGGCTGCTGCCAACCCCCTCCAATCCCCCATCCCTCCCAACTGCTGGGCAAAACTGGGGAGAGAGAGAACAAAGTAGGCTCTCACAGCCCGGACAACACCCGAGAAGGATCTTTCTTTTGAAGCCAAAATAAGTAAAGGAGCTGCTAAAGAAAACCAGGCAAAAAGCGCCACGATTATTCTCATTGAAGATCCAAGACGGGAGCTATTTATGTGTTTCATCACAAAAGGCAAAGAAAAAATAAATATAAGAAGAAATCACCTATTTGCATATGCAGGAAAAAGACTTGTACAATAACCCAGGCACTTGTTCACCAAACAGCGCTGACTAATTCCTCTCTACACCCATTTCTACCAGGCAATTGCCCAACTGTGTCTGCGACTCCGGTGTCAACGTGTAGCCAAATCCTGCTGGGTCTCTGCAGACTCTCTGGAGGAGTTTGTAGGGTTTGTCCTTTCCTTCTCCAGCCAGTCCCCAGGGCGGTGACGGAGGAGAGAGTTGTTTGCCAGCTGAGGTTATCACCCCAGGGTTACCAACTTACCCGTTCTGGAGTTTTCACTCGAATTTTACTTAAAAAAAGAAAAAGTCAAAGGGAAATGACAAACTTGAGCATAGGAAGTTCCATCTCAACATGAGGAGGAACTTCTTTCCTTTGAGGGTAGCAGACCCCTGGCAGAGGCTGCCCAGAGCGGTGGTGGAGTCTCCTTCTCTGGAGACATTCAAAACCTGCCTGGACGTCATCCTGTCCAGCCAGCCTACTCTGGCAGGGGGTTGGACTGCATGATCTCCAGAGGTCCCTTCCAACCCCTCCTGACTATTAAGAAATTAAAAGACCGAGCAAGAGCATCCCATGCCCCTTATCTGCACCGTCCAGGGACCTCACCCACTCATAGAGGTCACCCACTGGCTACTTCCACCCTGGGACAAAAAGAACCCTTTGAACCCTGGAGCTCTTCCTTGATGCCCCAAGACCTCCTGGCACCAAGCTATCTCCTGCATCTCATGCAGCATCCCACCTGTCTCCAGCCCACAAGCCATCCTGCCCATCCTGGGCTGGACGCCTACCAGCAGCCCTCTTGTCCCACCTGGGAAGGTCCATGCTGATGTGCCCGGGGAACTGGGCCATATTTGGGGATCCCTGGGGCATGCTGGGAAATTCCTAGCAGCTTGGGATAACCGCATGGGCTCTGTGGTCCCAGATTACTGGGAAAGAAAAAAACCACTGCAGGAAAGTCTCCAAAAAAAAAAATTTCTGTAAAAACCCCATCAAACCAACCAACCAACCAACCAACCAAAAAATGTCCATAAAACAACCACCAAACCAAACTCAGCAGTCCTGGGTCAGGAGCTGGACAGAGAGGGATGCCACCACCCAGCACCCTCTTTTTTTCATCCTACGGCACCCAGAGGATGATGCCACCCAGCAGAGACATCAATCTCTGCCCCCAATTTTGCAGCTGAAGAAGACCTTTGCAAAAGAAAAGGGACTGCTGTCTTCTCCCACCCCCCCTCTCCAAGTCATGAAAAAGCTTGTGCAAACTTTGATGGACCCCAAAACATGGGATGGATGCAGAGGTCACCAGGAACATTTTCACTCAGAATATGAGACTGCAGAGGGAATAGTTTTGTTCCATTTGCAGCCTCCAGTTGGGCCAAACTTTGCAGAAGCAGATTGTTTGCATGTTCTCTGCAAAAGCGGGGAGTGACACTGATTCCTTCGACAAAGCACAAAAAGCACCTTGCCAGAGATAGGAATTATGTTTTTTGGCCCATGTCTGCTTACGGGCAAGAGTTGGGCTTGCCAGGAGCTGAATCTCCATGGTAGCCGGACTTGCAGTGCCAGGGCTCTCCTGAAGCATCCTGAGATACCCATCTGCTTTGGTCCTGCAAGGTGGTGCTACACCAGTGTTGTGAGCACAAGGAAGGTGGCCCGGGGAGCTTTGTCCTTACATTTGGCCTTCAGACAGCATGTTTCACCACAACCACGGCATGCACATACGGGCAAGCCAACAAGAACGCCACCCATGCAGAGGTGTCCCACCTCCCTCGGGGTGCCCATGTTTGAGGAGACCACTGCTGTCATCGAGGGAACTTGGTCAATGGAGTTATGGGTGCTGTTCACCCGACTGCATGTCGGACATGCTCCCAGCAGGACCTGTGACCCATCACGCTGGGCATGGAGAACATGGAGAGCAACTCAATCGCTTCTCCAAAGGGTGTGCAACCAAAAGAGATGAGCCAGAGCAACAGCACGAGAGAGGTGAAGAGCTGGCTGGTAGTGAAGAGCGGCTCGGCAAAGAACAAAACCCATGTCCCATGTGCCCAGGGGACATCCGATGGACCCGTGCCCTGACCCACAGACCTCCACGCCACTGATGAGAAACCTTTGAGGAGGCTGAAGAGCGCTGAAACCAGACGGCCAGGTCACTGCCCTGCCCAGTGAACTTTATTTGCTCTGGAAATGCCTCACGGAGTTATATAAAAATAACCTGTGGATTGGCTTGCCCCATGCTTAGGTGGTGATGTCAGGGGAGTAAGCAAATTATCTTTCATCAGTTTGGCTGTATTTTTAAACACAAATTGCATTACTAATTTGGGGGTGCCCTGGCCTGTAGATAATCTGGGCGCGTTTACTGGATGACCTTCCTTCAGCGCCGATAGTTTAAAATAAAATGTATTTATACCAGGTAGGAGGGTTGACCTCCCTTCTCTGCCTGGTTTGGGAGAAGAGTTCATTGGGAAACCATGTGGCAAGTGGGAGGATGCCAAGGAGAACTCAAAAGAGGTCCACACAGGACAAGAATGAGGCATAAACCTGAAGGCTGAGCATGCTCATCACGGTGGGTCTCATGTGGTGTCCTCAGCACAGGAAGGATATGGAAACTGTTGGAACAAGTCCAGTGGAGGGCCACAAAGACGAGGGACTGGAGTCCCTCTCCTACGAGGAGAGGCTGAGAGAGTTGGGGGTGTTCAACTCAAAAGAGGTCCACACAGGACAAGAATGAGGCATAAACCTGAAGGCTGAGCATGCTCATCACGGTGGGTCTCATGTGGTGTCCTCAGCACAGGAAGGATATGGAAACTGTTGGAACAAGTCCAGTGGAGGGCCACAAAAGCCCCTTCCAGTTCCTAAAGGAGAGCTCGAGAAGAAACAGGGAGGAACTCTTGATCAGGGAGGGGAGCCACAGGATGAGGGGGAAGGGTTTGACACTGAAAGAGGGGAGATTGAGATGAGATCTCAGGAAGAAATTCTTTGGTGTGAGGGAGGTGAGATCCTGGCCCAGGTTGCTCAGAGGAGCTGTGGCTGCCCCATCCCTGGAAGGGTTCAAGGCCAGGTTGGATGGGGCTTTGGGCAACCTGGTCTGATGGGAGGAGTCCCTGCCCATAGCAGGGGGATTGGAACTGGATGGTCTTTAAGGTCCCTTCCAACCCAAACCATTCTATGATTCCACGGGTAGATCAGGGGTGGCCAATGTTCATGCATGATAGATGGGCCATGGCTCGGTCAGGGCCATGTTCATGCATGATAGATGGGCCATGGCTCAGCCCACCCTCTGATGTCCCCCATTGGGCACTTTCTAAGCTTGGCTGAAGCTTCTGCCAGCAATGGAAATAGAAAAGGCCTTTATCTTGGGTCTCTTCACTCTTGCACCCAAGCGAAAGCCCACTCTGCATCTCAGTGTAGATGCAGCTCATGCAACTCCATCCCTTCTTGACCCAGACA